GAAATATTTCTCGGTTATGGAGGTGATAAAGAGTTCGTCATAAAGAGTTACGTCGATGCAAGCTTTGACACCGATCTGGATGACTCTGAGTCTTGATCTGGATACATATTGAAAGTGGGAGCAATTAGCTAGAGTAGCTCCGTGCAGAGCATTGTAGACATAGAAATTTGCAAAATACATACGGATCTGAATGTGGCAGACCCATTGACTAAACTTCTCTCACAAGCAAAACATGATCACACCTTAATACTCTTTGGGTGTTAATCACATGGCGATGTGAACTAGATTACTGACTCTAGTAAACCCTTTGAGTGTTGGTCACATGGCGATGTGAATTATGGGTGTTAATCACATGGTGATGTGAACTATTGGTGTTAAATCGCATGGCAATGTGAACTATATTATTGACTCTAGTGCAAGTGTGAGACTGAAGGAAATATGCCCTAGAGGCAATGATAACATTGTTATTTATTTCCTTATTTCATGATAAATGTTTATTTTTCATGCTAGAATTGTATTAACCGGAAACTTAGTACATGTGTGAATACATAGACAAAACAAAGTGTCCCTAGTATGCATCTACTTGACTAGCTCGTTTATCAAAGATGGTTATGTTTCCTAACCATAGACATGTGTTGTCATTTAATAAACGGGATCACATCATTAGGAGAATGATGTGATGGATAAGACCCATTCGTTAGCTTAGCATTATGATTGTTACAGTTTCATTGCTACTACTTTCTTCATGACTTATACATGTTCCTATGATTATGAGATTATGCAACTCCCGAATACCGGAGGAACACTTTGTGTGCTATCAAACGTCACAACGTAACTGGGTGATTATAAAGATGCTCTACGGGTGTCTTCGATGGTGTTTGTTGAGTTGGCATAGATCGAGATTAGGATTTGTCACTCCGATTGTCGGAGAGGTATCTCTGGGCCCTCTTGGTAATGCACATCACTATAAGCCTTGCAAGCAATGTGACTAATAAGTTAGTTACAGAATGATGCATTACGGAACGAGTAAAAAGACTTGCCGGTAACGAGATTGAACTAGGTATAGAGATACCGACGATCGAATCTCGGGCAAGTAACATACCAATGACAAAGGGAACAACATATATTGTTATGCGGTTTGACCAATAAAGATATTCGTATAATATGTGGGAACCAATATGAGCATCCAGGTTCCACTATTGGTTATTGACCGGAGATGAGTCTCGGTCATGTCTACATTGTTCTCGAACCCGTAGGGTCCACACGCTTAATGTTCGATGACGATTTGTATTATGAGTTATGTGGTTTGATGTACCAAAGGTTGTTCGGAGTCCCGGATGAGATCACGGACATGACGAGGAGTCTCGAAATGGTCGATACATAAAGATTGATATATTGGAAGGTTATATTCGGACACCGGAAGGGTTCCGAAGTGTATCGGGTATTTTTCGGAGTACCAGGAGGTTACCGGAACCCCCGGGGAGTCTATGGGCCTTATTGGGCCCTAGTGGATAAAGAGGGCAGCAAGCAAAGTGTGGGGTGCGCCCCCCTAGGAAACTGAATTGTTTAGTGTTTGCCCCCCCCCCTCTTTCCTTCTTCCCTACTCCTCTTTCCTCCTTCTCCTAGTGGGAATAGGAAAGGGGGGCCAAACCTACTCTGAGTGGGATTGCCCCCCCTTGGCGCGCGCCTCCTCCTAGGCCGACCTCCTCCTCCCTCCCTCCTTTATATACGTGGGGAGGGGGCACCCCAAAGGCACACAAAAGTTTCTCTTAGCCGTGTGCGGTGCCCCCCTCCACAGTTACACATCCTCGGTCATATCATCGTAGTGCTTAGGCGAAGCTCTGCACCGGTAACTTCATCATCATTGTCGCCACGCCATCGTGCTGACAGAACTCTCCCTCGACCTCAACTGGATCAAGAGTACGAGGGACGTCACCGAGCTGAACGTGTGCAGATCACGGAGGTGTCGTGCTTTCGGCACTTGATCGGTTGGATCGCGAAGACGTTCGACTACATCAACCACATCACTAGACGCTTCCACTTTCGGTCTACGAGGGTACGTAGACAACACTCTCCCCTCTCGCTGCTATGCGTCATCTAGATGGATCTTGCTTGTGTGTAGGAACTTTTTTGAAATTACTGTGTTCCCCAACAGTTACTTTCACCATGATTCATCGATTTCGCGTTCGTTGCCTTGATAAGTATTATGTGGGTGGACCGGAGCTAAGGTATTGTTCTTACTAGAATAAACACCTGCTTATGGTTACACCCTCCATATGGATCCAAAACAACCTCATGGAACAATTCTTAAACTGGGATTTAGGTTTTTATCACTCCCCATCTTCTACAAACTAATTCCACATTGCCTTCCCCTAGTCCCAAAAATGGTGAACTGTCATGTAGTCGACGTTCATGTAACACTATTAGAGGAAGAACAACACAAAATAATATCAAAACACTAAATGGTGATCAACTTCACATGATTATTATTAATAAGACCTCTCCCATGTCCTAAAAAACAAATAGAACTGCTCACTACTCACCGTAATAACAATATTCCATTGGTATAAATATGCAATTAACAACCTGGACATAATGATCTTTCATCAAGTAAACCAACTAGCATCAACTATAATATGTAATCAACACTATCAGCACCCTCAGGTACCAATATGAGGTTTGATACAAAGAGTGAACACAAGACATGAACTAGGGTTTTATAGATGAGATAGTGATGGTGAAGATGTTGATGAAGATGAGGCCTCCCACGATGAGAGGAGCATTGGTGATGATGAGGGCTTCGATTTGCCCCTCCTATAGCGAAGTTTCCGCGGTAGAATCGCTCCATCGAAGACAGTTGAATAAAGCCTGCATTTACTGAGCGGGCGTGTCTGAAATGTTATGGTGCAACTGAATATCCCATTATCCGTCAACAAACCGTGTAGCCACCGTACATGATTTATCATTAGCGAAGGTATAAAGTGCAGGAAAAAAGTGGAGAAGTCTGCCTCTGCCTAACCAACCATCAAGCCAAAAGGAGGTCCTGGTGCCACTACATACACTAATTTTGCTTGCTTGGATGACCAAAGGGATTGTGCTTTTTATGCATCGCCATATAGCGACATAATTAGTGCATGCTTTCAGAGGAATTTTCTGCTCGCAATAAAGATGGCTATTTGCCGCTAGTTTGACATTGCACAATTATGTTTGCTTCCATGATGGAGAAGATATTTACTTTGTCAGATGCGACATGGACCCGAACTATGTGCCAACAATTCTGGAGTGATACAGGAAATATGTAGCTCCTTCACATGCAACTATAATAGGTAATGGTCCTGACGTTGATGCATTTAGGCAATAATTAGCTACCACCATTGCTCTAAGTTGGTACGTCATTGTTGATGCTAGAGACATGCATGTGGACGCAGAGTTTCTGCATCCGAGCTAGAGACATGCATGAGCTCAGGTGAACAGTAAAATCAAAAAAAAATTTAAAAATTTCAAAAAATTCCAAATTTTGTTGGGTGAAACATTGACAAAAGTTTTAAGTGCTTGCAAAAATTCGTCTTGAAATCACATTCCTAGAAGGCGTGGCAAAAAAAAATCGATACTCTGAAAATGCTACTTTCAAAAGCATTTTGGAGCACTGAATTTATTTTTTTGCCACGCCTTACAGGAATGTGACTCCATGACAAATTTTTGCAAGCACTTAGAACTTTTGTCAATGTTTCTCCCAAAAAAATTTAGATTTTTTTCCATTTTTTTGATTTTACTATTCATCGAGCTCATTGGAGCTCGGGAGCAGAAAGGTACTTTCGCATGCATGTGCCCTTTGGGTGGGATGTCTGTTTTGGCTCTGGAAGCATATGCTTCGAAATGAATAGTAATTTCAAAAAAAGTAGCAAATGATTTTTTTTGTAGATGTTTATGTTAGTGTAACAAGCATCTTTGAAAATTTTCATGCGAAACGGGAGAGCATGCTTCGTTGGTAAAAAAAGATTAAGTGTAACAATTAGAGGTAACATTTGACGCCCGACTTGTTTTTTTTTTTTGCACATGTGGAAATATTTAAGCTTTCCCCTTAAAAATTTGCAGGTAACATTTTGGTGTGACACATTTTTCTTTGTCATTTGGAAAATCTATATTTGGTGCACAAGAGCATATGTTTTCAAGAGCCGAATTGGATTTCCGCCTTTTGGTTTGCAAACTTATGCAAATGCGAGGATAATTGGTGGTACACATACGAGGCTTTTATTCTGCGCAAAATGTTCAAAACTTGACCTAAATCATGCTATAATTTTTCATGTTACTTTCTAAATTTATGTTTTTTAGATCATTCTAAATTTATGCCGTAACTATTTCTGTGCAAGAACACAAAATTTTCACAGAAAACGCTCTCTGTACACTGCTTTTCTGTACACTGCTAAATCGGCGAAGAAAAGAAAAGCAAATACATAGTAGTTTTCTTTTTGAGTCTGCATCCTCTCCCAGCTGGCTTCCCACGGCCCATAGGCTGCAACGCTCGCTTCACCAGCTGAATGAGCTGAAAAAAAAAGGATTGCGCGGCCCGTCCAGCGACCTGGTCGAGAGAAGCGAGGCTGCCGAACGAAAAGCCAGAAGGTGAGTCCGTCCTCCCGCTCCCTGGTGGTCCTCCACGGCGGCGGCTGCATCCCGGCCAGGAGGTGAGTCCCTCTCTCCCGCTCCCCTCTCCGGCCACCTAGGGTTAGGGTCACCAGCGCGCGGAACGGCGTCGACTTGCTCTGCCGCCGGCTGGGTTTGTGCCCGTAATGGTCGCTGAACCAGCTGCCGTATGCTGCCATCGCCGCCGTCGCCGCCGCTGCTGCGTGGTGTTGATCCACCTCAAGCCCTGCTGTTGTGGCTGCTATTTGACTGTTGCTTGCTGCTGGGAGATCTGATGATTGTTTGCTATTGCCTGCTGTTGCAGACCGAACACGCCCCAAGTCTTCTAACCCTAAACGCTAAACCTCTCGCCCCTCCCCATGGCGTCACCGCCACCGAAGCTTCCGATCCCCGGCCGACGCAACATACTCATCACCAGCGCGTTGCCCTATGTCAACAACGTTCCGCACCTGGGGAACATCATCGGATGTGAGCACCCCTTCTGCTGTGCTATCTCCTCCCCCAATTTTGTTGCCTCGAGCTCTCGCTTACCCACCCTTTTGTTTTTCTGATGGTTTCGATTTTGGTCGTGATCTGCAGGCGTGCTTAGTGCCGACGTGTTCGCGCGGTACTGTCGGCTGCGAGGGTACAACGCGATCTACATATGCGGCACCGACGAGTACGGGACGGCCACCGAGACCAAGGCCTTGGAGGAGAAGTGCTCGCCCAAGGAGATCTGTGACAAGTGCGAGAGCCTTCACTTCTTGATGCTTTTTTAGTTAAATTTGGTTTTTTTGTTACAGGATTTGGAAATTGACCGTTATGGAATCTATCCAACACTGCTTTGAATTGCGCCAAACACACATATGACGAAAGTTTCAGTTATCAACCTTTGATATGCTTATACACCTAGCTAGTAAAATTTTGATGGTAAATATGAATAATGAAAGCATTTTATTCATAGTAAGCTTTCCCGGCTGAAAATGTAGGTACCATGTTATCCATGACGAGGTTTACAAGTGGTTTGACATAAAGTTTGACAAGTTTGGGCGGACATCCGCTCCTGAACAGACAGAAGTCTGCCAGGCAATTTTCCATAAACTGATGGAAAACAAATGGCTCACGGAGAATACCATGCAGCAGGTACAGCTAATTCCTAGCCTGGTCCTGTATATATTCATCTCTGCATGCTGTTTCTGTTATATAATATCTTTCTGCTTTGCAGCTTTATTGTGACACGTGTGAACGATTCTTAGCCGATAGGCTTGTGGAGGGGAAATGTCCGACCGAGGGCTGTAACTATGAAGCGGCAAGAGGTGATCAATGTGAAAACTGCAGCAAATTGTTGAACCCAACCGAGTTAATTGATCCAAAGTGCAAGGTAAGCGTGCACAATACTTATTGTAATATATTTAGTTGTGTTCAGCGTACCATTATGATTTACCTGAGCACACGAGGTGTGTACCTCGTGAAACTGCGTATGATAAACTTTCTTGTTCTGTTTCTGTTTTTAGGTCTGTAAGAATGCTCCACGTATTCGTGACACAGATCACTTATTCTTGGAGCTTCCTCTATTGAGTGATAAGTTGGTAAACTATATTAACAACACTTCAGTAGCTGGTATGTGGAGTCAAAATGCTATTCAAGCAACAAACGCATGGTTGAAGGAAGGGTTAAAGCAACGTTGTATCACTAGAGATCTTAAATGGGGAGTTCCTGTTCCACATGAGAAGTATAAAGACAAGGTTTGGGCATATCAGATATCAAGATATTCTGCTGTTATGCATCTATCTTATTTCTCATTTATGTTTGTTTGCAGGTGTTCTATGTCTGGTTTGATGCACCAATTGGGTACATATCTATCACAGCATCATATACGCCTGATTGGGAGAAGTGGTGGAAGGATCCTGATAATGTAGAGTTGTTCCAGTTCATGGGTAAAGATAATGTGCCATTTCACACGGTATGATGCCTATGATATGGTGGACACCTTCTTTAGTTATTCACACTTGTTTTGGCACGAATTTAGTAGTTATTTGGCTTCATTTCGCTAGCGAGCATTTTGGTCAAGCTTTTCCTTGCCCATGAGTTGGCCAATATGGCAAGAAAGATGAACTTGAGTTACCAAAGAGGCATTGGCAAGCCGAAAATGTTGTCAACCATCCAACAAAATAACAAAATTTTGGCCGTGACCAAACAAATTCTAGGGTAAGTTTTGGATACCATCAAAACATACCTATGTTAGCCAATATATTTGTAGATTAAGTTTTGTTGAACTGGCAAGCCAGGACAATAGTACTCCTAGCCAGTGGGTTTGTTTTCACCACAAAATAGGACTGAAAATTGCAAATTATGATTTCTTGCTGAATATTTGACCCCAGTCAAGTACTGTGATTGTTCGACTCGAAAATGTTTGCTTTCGTTTCAATTAATTAGTGCTTTCAGAAATTGAAAAAAAACCCTTTAACAAGCCAGTCTAATGCGAGCTGTATTGAAATGTATGGATAGCACATGTGTATACTGACTTTTCTTTTAATGTCTGTACTTCTTTTCCATGAAATACTTATCTGTTAAAAATGTAATTTTCAGGTCATGTTCCCTTCAACACTACTGGGAACTGGTGAAAACTGGACAATGATGAAGACCATAAGCGTTACTGAATATTTAAACTATGAAGCAGGTACGTTCCACATTTTTATTTGAACCTAATGCTTGATTGATGCACACAGTTCATGCTAGTCATTCATATTTGGTTAATGCTTTCCTGTTTACCTGAGCTGAAATTCCTATTGACTTTCAAGAGATTTATCAGTCAAGCATATCCAGCTGCATTTGTTTACACCATAGAAATACATGTTCCGTTTACTCCCCTGCAATTGAGGCTCTTGGACCTGGGCTTCCTGAAGCGCAGTTTCTTTTACCAGAGCATATTGCCCGGTACTTGGCCCATGTTTGCACTGGGAGCTGTGGTGCATTGCGATGCACTTCATGCTGCAGAAATAGTTGACACCTTTCTCAACCTCAACACTTCTCTTTCTTTTCCGGTGCCCAGAATGACTAGCTGTATAGGTTTGTGTATATGTATATTGTTGCTTGATATTCAGCAGTGGGCCATGTTTTCATTATGGTCATGCTTCATGACTGCTCCCTTGTTCTTCTGCCACCAGAGTATTATCATGAAATTGGATGAATGGTTTGAAGACATCAGGTTATGCTGTTATGGCATCTCTTATCCTTTTTGTTTGGCTAAACAGCCTATAGACTAAGATATGGCCCAGCATGATGGAGACACTGTTTTGCATGGGCCTGATTCAAATTACTCCGAAGTAGATGCATATATATATCGGCACATTATGTATGTTTATTCCCTTGATAATAGCTAAATATTCCTCACATCTATAGGAAAATTTTCCAAGAGTCATGGTATTGGTGTCTTTGGCAATGATGCGAAGGTTACTAATATTCCATCTGAAGTATGGCGATACTACTTGCTTATGAACCGCCCTGAGGTTTGTATAGACATTTTGTTTAATGGATTTAAAATATCTGATAATGACATTCAATGCAATATTTTTATTTGACTTCTGTTTTGGGTGTTCAGGTATCAGATACACTGTTCACTTGGGCTGATTTACAAGCTAAATTGAACAGCGAGTTGCTGAACAACCTGGGAAACTTCATCAACCGTGTGTTAAGCTTTGTTGCAAAACCAGCTGGTTAGTCATGGGAGAATCTTGCACCTGCCATCTAACTGTCTAGAAGTATTATCAGTTGATTTCTGTATTTTCTCTTACAATTTATCTTGATTATCTGTGTGATTTGCTACCATACTATATCCTCATCCGGTCATCCCCTTTCTTCGGCACTTTCCTTAAGTTGATTTTTGATCTTCTGTTCTGATAGGAGCTGGATACGACTCCATCATACCTGACGCTCCTAATGCCGAGTCACATACATTGACCAACGCACTTGCAGAAAAAACTAATAAATGGGCTGAACAATATCTTGAAGCAATGGAGAAGGTCATTAATTTACTTGAACCATGTGAAATGGCACACATTCCTGCATCCTGTCTAGTTTTGTGTTGTTGCATTGTGCCAGCTTTTAGGATTTGAAACAGAATGCTCACTCCTTCCGCTACAGGTTAAATTGAAACAAGGACTTAAGAGTGCAATGGCGATTTCTAGTGATGGAAATGCATATTTGCAAGTAAATATAATTCTTTGTCTTGGTTCCCATTTGTGTTTTTAAATAGCACTGTTATATCTTTGACTTGCTAATTGAATACAGGAGAGCCAATTTTGGAGGCTTTATAAGGAAGATCCAGCAGCCTGTGCCATCGTAATGAAAACTTCAGTTGGTGTTGTCTATCTCCTTGCCTGTCTGCTGGAGCCTTTTATGCCTTCCTTTTCTAGAGAAGTATAATCCTTTTTTTTCATGTTTCACAGTTTCTCTTAATAGGCCTGCTTTGCCTGAACTCACTCTTATGTTTGTTTCTTAATAAGGTGCTGCGACAATTAAATATGTCCCCAGATGAAGATCTGTCATTCTGTGATGATAAAGGAGAAACTGCCAAGGCTAAAAGACCCTGGGATTTTGTATCAGCAGGACACAAAATAGGAAAGCCAGTCCCTCTATTTAAGGAACTGGTGCGTATTTGCAACATTTTTAAACAAATTTGTTAGTTGGTCCTGCTTTTATATCTTGTAACTTGAAATAATGCAGAAAGATGAAGAAGTTGAGGCGTTTAGGATCAAATTCGCTGGCAGCCAAGCTGAAAGGATCTCAAAGGCACAAGCTGATGCCGAGGCAAAGAAAGTTGCTGATAAGCTCAAGGGCACAAAATTATCTGGTACTTGTGAAATTCTTACTATATGTTTTTCTGTGTGAATTACATGGGAGAACAGTTTTTTTCTGTGTCAATCTAGAAACAGGATTTTCTTTGTGGCTCAGTTGTATGCAATTTGTATGTTCTCTTGAAAACACCGGTGCATAGTGCGGCATTTTTCTTACGCTTGAAGTGCTCTTGAGTTATCTTCTGCTGAACCAATTTCATAATTCAAAAAATTCATTGTCAAATTGTCTTGTCTTGCTTTCGTATCCAGAGGGAAGTTCAAAGAAGAAACAATCTGGTGGTTCGAAATCAAAGACAGCAGAGGATGTCTCAGTTGCCAAGCTGGATATTCGGATAGGGCTTATCAGAAAAGCAGAGAAGCATCCAGATGCCGATTCACTTTATGTAGAAGAGATCGATGTTGGAGAAGAGGCACCAAGAACAGTGGTTAGCGGCCTTGTCAAATTCATCCCTCTGGAGGAAATGCAGGTTTGTCTTTCTTAGAATCATTTCTAGGCATGACATTGGTCTATGTCGTGGTGGTCTTGCCTCCCTAATTTTGCAATTTCTGGTACGAATGAGCAGAACCGGAAAGTGTGTGTGCTCTGCAACCTTAAACCGGTGGCAATGCGCGGTATAAAGTCACATGCTATGGTTTTGGCTGCATCGAACGAGGACCACTCAAAGGTAAGGAACGTTTGCCTCTCATGTGCTCTCTGTTTGATAAAGCATCATGAAAGTACAGTGGCAGCAGCCAGTTTGGTTGGTGGAAACTGACATTCGAAATTTTAGGTTGAGTTGGTTGAGCCTCCAGAATCCGCTGCTGTCGGGGAGAAGGTGACCTTTGCCGGGTTCTCTGGTGGGCCTGAGGCTTCTCTTAACGCCAAAAGCAAAACCTGGGAGAAGTTATCCGCCGATCTGCACAGCAACAGTGAGCTTGTGGCGTGCTACAAAGATGTTGCATTCACAACTTCGGCTGGGGTATGCAAGGTCAAGACCATAGCGAACGGGGAGATCCGCTAAGGCACAGTTCCATTTTGCAGTCTGACTGAGTCGTTGTCTGATTCCATTGAAAGTTAATATTGCTGATTTACTCTATTTTGGGGAATTTTGATGTGTCTTTCGAGTACTGCTCTGCACCATTGTGATTGAAAGCATGCATTTTTTTGGTATGTTCGACTCAGTCTCTCTTTCCTCTTTTTCCTTTTAGTTTTCTTTCTTTTAATTAGTGTATGTTCGGCTCACACCCTCAGGAGCTATCTTTATATAGGACCGTTTCTAGCTGAACTTAAAGAGCCCCCCAGTTGTTGGGAGGCCATTTGTGCTACTTCCTCTGTATCAAAATATAAGCCGTTTTTTTAGGTAATTTAGCATAAAAAAGGTCATATATTTTGGTACAGAGGTAATACAAGTCTAGCGCTAGCATCTATCTTTGCTTTCGCTAAAAAAAAACTTTTATCTTTGCTGCTTAGAAGGCCAGGTTGGATGAGCAGTAGCCGTCTGGCTCTATTGCATTTTCCATGGCAACCGCATATACTGTGTGGTTATACCATATTAGTCCCCATATATATGGAAACTATATGATTGGTTTCATCTGTCTCTCTTCTAAAGGGTACTCTACGCTGGTGCAGTAGACACAGGGAAGTACGATGCCAGGAAATGGATGTCACTGGAGATGGTCCCTGTCAAAATGCACGTCCTGTTTTAAAAGTACTGAAAATAAAACAACGGACGTCGTTTCAACAAAATGATTACCAACATTTTTTTGGTGGGAGTTACCTACATTGATAATAGCATAAATGAACTTTTAGTCACTGGTAACCCTTTTGCTAAAAAAAGCAAATCACCTTTTATTTATGACGAAAAAACACACCCAATACCGAGAAAACCTGAGAATCGTGATGTGTGAGATGAAGGTTATGTGAGTCTGTTTGGTTTGCAGCCTAAGCTTAGTCGTGTCATAATATCTTAGGCATATCGTTTGATTCATTGTCATACTTGTGGTTTGCACTTTTTTCTAGCTACATTGTCTACATGTTATAAACTCAGTTGTTTATCAAATCTTGCCATATGGTCATTTTATTACCCACACTTTATATTGCAGCCACATTTACCTCAGCTTAACTATGCGAAGTTAGTCATGAACTAGAAAGACCCCGTAATTTGATCGAAACTACTCTGTGCCCGATACTCAAGTGACCGATCACTGCACGACGTCTAATCAAGTGGTCCCATCACGTCAATCAAGTGGTCCGCTCCAATTTAAGGCCTTCTTTGGTTCATAGGATTGAAAAATCATAGGAATAGGAAAGTCGTAGGAAATGAGATGACATGCATCTCAAATCCTATGCATAGGAATAGAAAAGGAGATGCCCTTTGATTCACACCATAGGATTTTTTCCATTGAGTCTAGGCTAATGTTTATTTTCCTATGAAATGTGGAGGATAGGAAGAATTCCTCCATAGGAATAGGATTTCATTCCTACAAACCAAAGAGCTCTGAAGGAATTTTTCCTATAGAAATCCTATCTTATGAAAATCCTACAAAATTCCTCCAAACCAAAGGAGGCCTAACTCTATGCATGGATGGCTCAGATCTGGTTGTCGTCCCAAACTCGTGTGATTGGTGTCCTGTGTGTAGCAACACTCTAATTTGATCCCGGCTCTTGAGATATTTCCCCGCCTTTCCCCACCATCTTCGTCTCCACACGCTACATACACGTGAAACCGACGCTTGTGCCCCACCATGACAACCCGCATCCGGGCCCGCACTCCAGTTACCTTGACGATTCAAAGCCGCGAGTGGATTTCCTGGACCGCTTCAATGATATAGGTGGGCCCGCTAGTCAGGTGAGCCTAGGATAGAATGTCAAAGAAGAAAAAGGTGAGCCTAGGATAGAATGTCAAAAAAAAAGGTGAGCCTAGGATAAGCACGCCCCCATGACGTCATCCTCCTCTCTTCTTGTACTCGTAGATAGTGGCGGCAATAAGAATTAAGAAAAGCGCGCGGCCAGAGTTAGGAAGAAAGGTCCGACAGCGAGCGAGCGAGCGAGATAAGGAGAGAGAGGGCGCGCGCGGGGATCTCCCTGTCTTGATCGGCGGTAGAGTCGTCGGCGGCGGGGACGATGGAGAGGGGGCCGGCGGGGACGATGGGGCCGCTGAGTGACGTGCCGGCGATGCTCGACGGCGACCGGTACGAGCTGGTCCGCAGCATCGGGTCCGGCAACTTCGGCGTCGCCCGCCTCATGCGCAACCGCGCCTCCGGCGAGCTCGTCGCCGTCAAGTACATCGACCGCGGCGAGAAGGTACCACCCGCGCCACCACACTTCGATTATTTATTCCCGGTTTCCCACACGCGCACACTTGGCACCAGAGCCATGGCCTTTGATATTTACAAGTCTGATGCGTGCGTGCGTGCGCGCGCGCAGATCGATGAGAACGTGCAGAGGGAGATCATCAACCACAGGTCGCTGCGGCACCCCAACATCATCCGCTTCAAGGAGGTGAGTATACGATCGGCGATACAATCGCCTTCGCTTGCAGTATCGATTCTTCGATGGTTATGTGGACTGTGGTGGAATGATGCAATGAACAAACTCTGTCTTCAGGTTATTCTGACGCCGACGCATCTCGCCATCGTCATGGAGTACGCCTCCGGCGGGGAGCTCTTCGAGCGCATCTGCACCGCCGGTCGATTCAGCGTCGACGAGGTATCTCTCTTGACTCATAGCTCTGCCATATAGTCTTTTTTTCTTATCAAGAGTTGTACGATTGTACAATTTGGTTAACTCAGTTTGTATGTGTGTTCATTTTTCAGGCTCGGTTCTTTTTCCAGCAGCTGATATCTGGAGTCAGCTACTGCCACTCCATGGTATCAATCTGCTCCCCAAATTATACTGCTACTACTTGATTTTACCTTTCCATGTATTTTCCTATGCAACTGACAACATGAATTTGTTCTATTCGTTAAGCAAGTATGCCATCGTGACTTAAAGCTCGAGAACACTCTGCTGGATGGAAGCACCACTCCTCGCCTCAAGATATGCGACTTTGGTTATTCGAAGGTATTCTAGGCTATTAATCTGGTGGAGCGCCTGAGTGCTTGCTTATGTGAACCATCTTACACCAGAAACTTATGTGACAAACAGAAGGTGTGTCGGTTACCAGATTTTTAATTGATTTGCAGTGCTGTTATTTTTGTTTTACAGTCATCGGTTCTTCACTCTCAACCAAAGTCAACTGTTGGAACTCCGGCATATATTGCCCCTGAAGTTCTGCTCAAGAAAGAATATGATGGCAAGGTGTGCATCCACCTTGGCGCTTTCAAGTTTAAACCGTCTGATACATACTCTGCCCCATCTGCTGCCTAATTTGAATAACTTTGCCCGGCCATGAAAACTTTACTTGCTTTATGAATCTTCCATCCACCTTTCGTGGGCATGGGTGGTGCATGGTCTTGAGGAACAACCATTTAAAGTACTTTCATGTTTTTTGCTAAAGCACTAATAATTTGTCTCTGAATGGAGATTGCCGATGTGTGGTCATGTGGGGTAACCCTTTACGTGATGTTGGTCGGTGCCTACCCTTTCGAGGATCCGGAAAATCCCAAGAATTTCAAAATGACAATTCAGGTATGCCGCCAGCCGTTCGGCTTAGCAATTCCACTAGTTGCAGTTATAGCCAAACATCTAAATACCGAGGTCAACTTTTTCAGAAAATATTAGGTGTTCAGTACTCGATTCCGGACTATATTCACATACCTATGGACTGCCGAAACCTTCTCTCAAGGATCTTTGTTGCCAACCCAGCTACGGTGAGTACTCGCTTCATCGACACACGCACGGTTTCGCTTGTTCGGCCCTCAGGATAACGCCTGTGCTATTTGAGCTTGCAGAGGATCACCATACCTGAGATAAAGAACCACCCATGGTTCCTCAAGAACCTCCCAGCTGACCTCATGGACGGTCCCACAGCGAGCAACCAGTATGAGGAGCCTGACCAGCCGATGCAGAACATGAACGAGATCATGCAGATAATGGCAGAGGCGACCATACCGGCGGCCGGCGCCCTCGGAATCAATAAGTTCCTGCCTGACGGCCTTGACCTCGACGACGACATGGATGATCTGGACTCGGACCTCGATATCGACATGGACAGCAGTGGGGAGATAGTATACGCTATGTAGTAAACCTGTGAATATCTGTATGTGCAGAAGCGGTATTTGTGGTTTTCCACCTTGTTTGCTTCTTGAAAACACACCAGATTGAGTGCCATTTTGTGTCAAGAAGAAGAGTGTAGAAATGTACATCGAGAGGATTGTATTCAGGCTACTGCTTGAGTCTGAAATTGGTGTTGCTGCTGATTGTGTAGCGTGTGTTGTCTAACAAAATATGTTGGAGTTTTCTGATGATGTTGATAAAAGGAGTATTTACCCGAAATCGCTAGATGAATAATGTTGTATTATATGTGTATCATGTAGACGCAAAGCTGGTTTGTGATGCAACGCCAGCTCTGTCTGCGGCCCCTGAGATTGCACTCCACCTATGCAATGCAAGGACTGCCCCTACCACGACCCGACACCTTTTTCGAAAAGGGACGCTTTATTACTTAAAAGATTTAAGCATTACACCCGGCCTCTGCATTACTAAGATGTACACAGCCAAATAAGGTCTTCTCGCCGGTTCAAATAAAATAAAATAAGGTCTTCTCGCACAAATGAAAAACAAAAAGGCGAAATACAAAAACA